CCTGATGGCTGATTAAGGCCGGCGTCCTCCACACAGCTGTTGCCGAACTGGTGAATATTGGAAGGAGAAAGCTGCACTTTTTAGGGGGGAATCCCACGGCCGCGCCGCTCCGAGCGCGTACCCACAGCCAGGCGGAGCCCAGATCCAACGTGGTGCGCCCGCACAACCCCGCCGGCCACGCCAACCACGGCGGTCAGGTTCCCTCGGCACAAGCTAATTGCTCCCCCCGCAGCCACACCAGCCGTGCTGCGCAGTGACAAGCAGATCAGTGAGACCGAGTAAGGTTCCCCATGAGACATTCAGGCAGGTGGGAAAAGGCAGCCAACTCACCTTCCTTTTAAGGCACGCAAGGTTCAGTCAATGCCGAGCACACACGAACACAGTGACGGCCCACGCCAAACAATCCAGCCGCCTCGACCACGCCACCGACGCTCACTGCCAGGACCAGGGAAAGGGGGACCAGCTCGGTGATGACACCCTTTTAAAGGTGCGCACCGACCAGCACCTCAAGTCCCTGGATGACTGGCACAGCGCCCCACAGCGACTGGGAGTGCTCCAAAGGGCACCCGGTCACAGTAAGAAAAACGTAAGAAAGAGTGGCAAAAAGGAAGAGAGACAAAAAAAGAAAAGAAGAAGAGATCAAAAAAGAAGAGAGAGAGATGCGCCGAGCCCACTTGTTTTTATCCGGCCAAAGTGGGCGGGTTTGGGAACTTCAGGCGGGTCTCAAGTGAACTTTTTACCTCTTTTTGGCCTAAGGATGGCTGAAAGAAGTGTTTGTCAAGACTGGGGTGATACAGGGGTTGAGTCCTAAACATTTGACCCTCCGGTGGCTTCTTGTAGTCTGTTCATTGATAATAATGGTTCAAGGGAAGTCCAGAAAGGGTTCAAAGGGTTCATTGGAAGTTGGCGGCCTATACTTCGCTTCACACATGGCTGTAATACACCAGTAAACCGAGTAGAGGAAGTGGAGGCTGTGAACCAGAATCAGAAGAAGTTGCTTTGGCCATCGAACCCCGGCGTTCCCAACCTTTTCCATCAGGGACTTCTTTTCTATCATTGAGTAAACTGAACCACCCCTGACTAAGTGACATATTTATGGATATTTCTTATTATATTCAATGTTTAACAACAACAGAACAACTGTGCAATTAACCAAAATACTGAACACAATAACTGCAGGAAGTTTGTGAAGATTAAATCAGGGATGAGTTTTCCTGTCTGTAACACTGTTTTTTGTTTGTTTGTTTTTTTACAGTCATACACACTTTATCTGCCTCTCCTGATAAATTCAGTGTTTTCTTCCTCCTGATGCTTGGCTGTTGTTCTGTTTGCTTTTTGGATGTTTTGACCAAGTACTTTTCCAATGCAGGGCGGAGCTCTTAAACAGAAAGTGACAGCTCTGTGAATTTCGCTTGTGTTCATCAGGTCATTACGATGTCCTTCTCCTGTGAGATTTCTTTTAAGTTTGTGTCTTTGATCATAATGTAACTTGGAAATATTAATATCATTTCATTTAGTTTTCCTCACAGAAATGAATGAAATCCTTAGATAAAGGCCTACTGTATGTTTTTTGAGTTTTCTTGCACCCCTTAAAATCGAGATTCTGTAAGTCTCGTCTTGATCAGCATTCACACCTAAGTCAAACGTCTCTGCAGTAGTAACAGGTATTTACCGGCTCCAGCTTCAGTCGGCACTGATGGAAACACCCAGGTAAACACGTTAATTTTAGTCCCTGAACTAGCAAGATGCAACAACACACCACCACAAAACACTGTCTGTCTCCACCCAAGCAGCACTCAAACATTAATTCACATGAGTCTGCACCGAGTTTGAAAGACAGACTGAATAAATAAGAGATTTATAATAAAAAGTAATCATTGTAAAGTTTTCTCAGGCCTCCATGCTGCTTTCTGCTGTTCACTAACCTGTTGTCCGGCCTGTTTGTGAAGTCACACGTGACAAATAAAATCCCCACAAACAGAAAGGCATACTCGTCTGCTGCAGAGCTGTGTACACAGCGCTGGTCTACTGGCAATGCGAGAGGAGCCTATAGCCAATTTTTGCTGGGTTTTCCAGTGTTTAAAAAAACGTCTACACACGCTAATTTTGGTGGAAAAGAGGTATTAGTTAGGCATTGACCTCTGCAGGAATCAGCACCAGTTGGTGGCTCCAGTGAGTTCAACTAAATGGTGCTGTTTCCTTTTTTCTGTTGGTGACGGACAAAAGGAGGCTACAAAGGTGAGTGCAACACCCCACATGTCATTTTGTGTTATTTAGTGCTTCACTCTGAGGTGTATAAGGTGCAGTGTGTACAGCCACACTGCAGTAATAGATAGATTTATGACAGACCAGTTTGTTTGGATGCTTGAGCCTTTAATTTTGCATAAGACAAGAAAGAAGAGTTTACTTTGCAGAATATATGTAGATTTGTGCTAAAAGCATTCTTTTCATAACACATTCAGTCTGCTCTCATTAAAGGCACAAGGCCTCAGAGACAATCCAGCTCCTGTTTATGTCACTTGTCACTTCATTCCTTCAGTAGCGTTACAGCGATAGCAAAGAAAAACTCAGCTCACATGAGACTGAGGGTGTAAAGAAAGATGTATATGAAAGCATGCACACAACACAAGTGTTTGTGCTTTTAATGGGTTCTTCATGTCTCTGTGTCAGACCTGGAATCATTTGCTATCCATGGCGCAGACATACGGTAACTGGGAGAAGCATGGGAGGTCATTCCAGCACTTGTCAGCTGCAAGCAAAAAAATAAAATGTTTGTTGAGTCAGTGAATGTGACACAAACAAAGACCTCAGACTGGTGATGTGATCAGTGACTCCTAACTGATTCATCATGAATAATTTTAACAATAAAAACTGAACTTTATTAATTGGAGAGGGCTGTTGTCAGTCAAAGAAAATCTTGGTCAACTAAACTCATCTTATTCTTCAGCCAGCTGATTGGTCGATGGGAAGAAAATCTTCATGTTATCTCTAGATGAACTAAATCTACCTGGCAGTGTTGTGTGTCATCCAAAGCATTTTGAAGCTGCGACCAGCAGCTCTATCTTGCTCTGTCGGTTTCACAATATGTCTCCACTGTTTGGTGGTCACAGTTTTTGTTCTAGGAGGCTGAAATTCGGTGTGGAGGTCGCAGCTATCGTGAATTCATGCTTGTTTTTTTCTGAGGCCAGCGCTGTAATGAGACTCAGGAGTGTTGTGTGTTTACACTCTGCTACAAACCTCAGTGTCATTATGAGGCCCTGAGCGTCTTCACTTTTCTTCACTAAGCCATGCATGTTGCTGTTTTCTGTCTGGTCACAGAGATTTGAAAAATGTTTAACTTTGGGTAAAACGCTGCCCTCGTCACTTTTTACCATGGACTGTAGAAAGAATGGACGTGGCTACATTGACGTCACCCATTTGTTTGTGGTTTTGAAGCCTCATGTTTGACACATCAGCCGTCACCATCTTGGTTTTTTGGAGCCAGAGGTGAACATAGTTGGGCAAGAGGCTGGCGCTGTGTGAGTGAGGGGTACGTGGATCTGACTGAGAGGCCGAGGACGCTATCAGCAGACAGTCTGTCACTCAAAGTGGTCGGCTCTTAATTATGTGGCTATTGCTGGCACAGAACCATAAAAATGCTTTGGTTGACACAGTCTTATGACAGTAACACCAGTGACTGTCCGACCAATGAGAATTTGGAGGGGCAAGAGCACATCAACCAACTGACCAGAAGATGTCAGCACGATATATTTCTGAGTTAACTCACTGTATTCCTTCCTATTTTATCATTAGCATCACGGCTACAGTTAGCACTATGTTGTTTTACCTGCATGATTCATCTGCAGACAATGCTGATTGCCGCCATGGTTATTAGGCTCTCCACTACACCATCTCCGGTAGTTGAAAGATGTGCCATCACTCCAGAGCCAGTAATGCTCCTGGAAGAAAGAGTAAAACAAAATATTACATAAAATTAAAGGAGAAAATGTGGGAAAAAGTTGTTGTTTTTAAAAAGAACATTAAAAAAAGATTCTATACACCCTGTGCCCACAGTACCCTGTATATACTGTCTCAAGTGAAGTGACATAGTGGTGTGATTAGTCACTGCAAAGTCACAAAAGTATAGTTCATGTAAGAGTAATGTGATACCATCTTTTATAACAGCTTGCCCATAATGATAAATGATAGTAATTATAGTGTTTGCTCACATTAAACTGAAATATAATAAATACATAATGTAGTGTAAAATGTAATTAAACAGGATAAAATGTTTACACAATGTAGTATAATATATTATGGAATTTAAAATACAACATAAGGTGAAATGTGGTATAACAATATGTAGTATAGCACAGCAATATGACATGAAATGCAATATAGAATGAGTCTAGTATCATATAGTATATAATGAATAAATAAATAGTATAATTCATCATTAAATAAATATCATATGTATTATATGCAATAATGAATAAAATACCTGTTGTGCATCAGAGCCTCCAATCCATGCCTGTCTATACGAATGAGTGGCACTGAGAATCAGCCTCTGCATCCAATAGTACTGCCGGTAGTTGTGAACAGACGCAAGGTTTCCACCCAGGGCCTGACAGTATCTCTACAGTGGAGATAAACAGAGAGACAGACGGACAGAGAGGAGTTGTCAAGGAAAGTAAGAATTAAGGCCCCAGGTCACCAAATGTCCATGTGTATGCAAACAAAATGAGCTTGTTGTAGAAGCCTCCTGACTCAAAGTCACCAACATTACCTCAGCTCTAGCCCAGGTCATAAGTGTTGGAATGTAGCGGTAACAGCGACCACCTAACAAAGACCAGCCCCAGGGACAGACTCTTCTTACCACGATCCACCTCTTGACCAGGTGACTCTCTGTGGAGAACCATTAGAGTTTGGTTAATGTAGGGTCTCCAGGGAAAGTCTTCATACTATATTAAATAGATTCATTTTGATGGCACGAAGAAGCTACAACATAACATAATATTACATGACACAACATAAATATAATAAACGTGAGTTAACATAACACAATATTACGTAACAAAATAAAATAACAGCATGTGTAAAATGTTCCCAGGACATCCCAGCTGACACTGGGTGAGAGGCAGGGTTCACCCTGGACAGGTCACCAGACTATCACAGGGCTGACATGTAGAGATAGACAACCATTCACACTCACATACACACCTACGGACAATTTAGAGTCACCAATTAACCTGCATGTCTTTGGACTGTGGGATGAAGCTGGAGCACCTGGAGGAAACTCACACTGACACAGGGAGAACATGCAAACTCCACACAGAAGGGCTCCCCGACCCTTGGGTTCAGACCCCCCACCCTCTTGCTGTGAGGCGACAAGGCTAACCACTGCAACACCATGCCGCCCCCACAAAAAAAAAAAGCAAAATAAATAAAAAAGTAATAATAATAGAAATAAAAAGTTAATATAACTTAATACAACATAAAGTGGTGTGTGATCAAATAACACAGAACAGTGTGATGTCAGTTAATCAAACACAATATAACAAAACACAGTAACACAGCATGATGAAAAAACACAACACAAAATTATATATATAAGTTAAGCAACACAATTTAATTTAATTAATTAAATTTTTTTTAAAATTTTATTTACTTTATTAATCCCCCTGAGGGGAAATTCAATTTTTTCACTCTTGCTTGTCAATTACACACAGGTCCGAACACATACATGCACAAACAGGACCTATACATGCACAAAGTGGAGAGATGTCAGAGTGAGGGGGCTGCCCTTGGTCAGGCGCCCTGAGCGGTTGGGGGGTTCGGTGCCTTGCTCAAGGGCACCTCGGCAGTGCCCAGGAGGTGAACTGGCACAATGTAATATAACAAAATAGTGCATGATGAAAAAATAAAAATAATAATATGAATTAGTGAATATAAGACAATATACAAAATAACATATTACATAACATAACATGATGTAAGATAAAGTAACAATAACATAACAATAATATAACAAGCTAATGTAACAAAATATAACACACACATTTACAAAAG